TCCCGGTTTCTTCAAACGATTAATTTAACAGTCTATTGAATCTTCGTTCGAATTCTTTCATACATCAACATTTCCAAATCTGTGACTTATCGTCACATTTTAATCGCAACAATTCTAGTGCAAGTCTTTGACGCTTGTCAAACGTGATTATCTCGGTCCAATAAATCTTCTCTAAATAACCAATGAAAAGTCCGAGTACAAAAGAAAAGGCATGAACCCCAACGTGAACCAACCCCCAATGGTATAACTACGTAAAGTCCAATCAATGACAGAAATGTTTCCCATTGAGCCCTCCCTTCTCGTAAACACCGCAAGAATTAGAAACACCAGGAAACATCGAACCGAAGAACTCAATAATACTGAAACGTTTCTTCTTTCTTCGAAAAAGAACTTTCGCGTTGCGATCCCTTTTCCATCTCGATCTCGGTTTCGTTAAATCGACGAGGGAAAAAAATATTTCTCGAGGATTGATGATAAGACCTGAAATCTAGGTTGGTCTGTTAGCTTCCTTCAGAAAGATCTACAAATATTTTTCACTTCGATCTCAATTTCGTCGACTCAGTGAGAAAAAAATAGATGCTCAACTCCTCGCGGGTTGTTAGCTTCTGATATATTTACAAAATCGTGCAGTGACCTTTAGAAAAATTTTCATTTCGACCGACGTTTCGTCAAATTAATGAGAAAAGGGCACAGGTCGAAGATTGATAATATGTAATAATAATAGTGAACCTAAAACGAGAGAATAGGTTTCTAACTTTAAAAATCGTGTTACGAAAATTTTCCATCTCAGTTTCGTTGAATCAATGAGGAGAAAATATTTCTCAAAAATATTTCACGAAAATCGTGTAGCGATCTACAAATATTTTTCCATTTCAATCTCAATTTCGTCGAATCAATGAGGAGACTACCTCTCGAGGTGTGATTTAATCTCTAATAATAAAAATAAAACCTTGCCAAAATCGTGTAGCGAAATTTTCCACCTCAATTTCAGTTTCGTCGAATCGATGAAGAAAAAATACTTCTCGACGGTTGATAATAATAAAACCTAGATTCGTATAGCTTCCAATAGTGTCACAAAAGTCGTGCAGCGAAAATTTTTCATCCCGATTCTAGTCTCGTCGAGTCAACGAGGAAAGTTATTTTTCTTTAATGCAAGAGGACAGCTGATAATATCTAACAACACATCTAAAATCTAAATTCCTTAGCTGCTGATACCTTCGCATTTTTTATTTCGACCTGAATTTCGTCGCCAGTCAATGAATGAAACTACCGAACTTAGAGAACCTAGAAAATAACGAGCCTTAAAATCTAGGCTCGTCAAACTTTCAATACATTCGACGAGATCTATACTTGAGAGCAATAGAGAGAGAGAGAGAGAGAGAGAGAAAAGTGACAGAAAGAAAGAAAGAAAGAAAGAAAGAAAGAAAGAAAGAACGCAAGAGGGCAAATAAATGGAAGAAACTTGTTTTACCTTTGACTCCGACCTGGCCGTCGGGTTTCTTCTGACCGGTTTGGAAATTGGGTGGTGGTTGCAAGTAGTTGATTCCGACGATGGTCGCTGCTGGCTCGTAGTGTATCACCCTCGGTCTGTCCTCCTCGGTGCTAACCTCGGTGCTCTGCCAGTAAATGTCGTATATCGAGGCGCTGCACCGTATTTTCAGCTTGCCCTCGGCGAAATGCTCGTGCGTAACGAGAAACTGAAGGCCGATCTGGGAAATCTGCCACTCGGACTCGTTGGTGTCCAAGGGACTGTACGTGCGGACGTGCGACTTCAGCGGCTGCGTGTGACAATTGGTGTGAACAGGTTAAACAGGTGGCCTGTCGACGTCCGTGAAAATTCTCTGGCTCCCGTGGGGGCTTTCTGCTCGTTGATAATTAATCCGAATGTCGCCGAATGTATATCGATTTAAGGGGCCAATTTCGGGCCGATTAATTGGCCCCGCGAACCCACGAATTCGCTAATCGCGCCCCGAGCGTTCTCCGTAACGAGGTTTCCATGACGTTTAGGGGTCTCTTTGTGGGATCTTTCGTCTGCGGACAAGTTCGATGCGTTTCGATCGAGCGGAAGAGGTCAACGAATTGATTTTAAAAGCATTTTCGACGAAAGTTCAGAATCAATTTTTCAGAAAATTTATCTAGCCGTTGATAATCTTGTACTTCGAGTGATCAGTTTTTTCTTTTTTTTTTTTTTTTTTTTGAAATACTCGATTCAGACAACTTTGATAGGAGTTTTGCTCCAGATATTTCCTTTTGAACCATCAATTTTCTACTAATTCTTTCAATAAAGGATTTTGAAAGAGTCGACGCGTGAAGACAAAGTGAGCCCAGCTTCTGTCACTCTAAAATGCTGATAAAAAGGGGCGTGCACGTCAAAAGTATCGATGTTTCCGAGCAACAATGCGATTTTATCGGCGGGAACGCACGTAGCACCGAATTGATAGACAAGCGCGATTCGACAGGACGCCGGTGTTTTGATGACGCCGTCATTACAACGTCCAAGATCGTTCTTTGTTCTCTCATTTTTTTCTCTTTTTTTTTTTTTTTTTTTTTCATTATATCCTCTGCCTTAATTTTTTGTCACGACGTTGCTCGTTTTGCAATACGTCATTCACCGAGTGAACGGAAACGAGCGAAAAACACGGGCGACGAGGTTTCATTGCAGAATTAAATTTCCGCGCCTCGTTCTGATCGGGACGTGAAGAGCGCGCTTTCATCTCGGACAATGGCGGTGCCGAAATAAAATAATTTCTCTGCCGCGTCGTAAAGCAGGAAACGTCGTTCCATTTGAAAAAAATTTCAACGACTATTATAATCTGAATATTTTATTCCCGATACGTTTGCCAAGTGTGTCCAGACTGGAAGTAATTGAAGGATCGATTAATAACAGGGCCGCGATGACATTTTGACAGATGGTTCTCTCGATTTAGTACCGGATAGCGTATCAACGTTTAAAACGGGGAAAGGGTCGACGACACTCGACGTCCCAGTTCAAACAACGAATCTTTCCTCCGAGATTATACGCGTACCTACCGTATAATAATAATCTAAATAGGGGCTGGGATTTGATCAGCTGAATGCTCGACTATTCGGAACTCGAGTCAGCAAAGTGAAGAAGGGAAAATGTTAAAGTAGGCGCAGCTGAATAAATTATCAAGGGAGGGGAATAAATTGTCCCGAATTCGATATCGACGATGGGACGATAGTCCCATTCTTTTCGCCGCCATTCTTTTATGTGCTGCAGCTCTTGTTCCGCGTAATATTTGCACGGTCTCGGGACGAAATTTTTCAATTCCGATCCGTTCTGTATCGTTCAATTTCACCGTACATTAAGGTTAGAACGAAGTAAATTGGATATGAAAGCGCGTGTTCCACGCGATCGACATCTTTCGCGCGTCGGTAGCGCCGCGAAAGACACGGTGAAACGACCGTAATTCCGATTGTACCTCTTCTCCGCGCGACGTACGTTTATTTCAATTTCTTAATTCAATTCCGTCCCGTCCCGACGGAAGATGAAAGCCGGGAAGGCTGACGGCGAACTTGACGCGATCAATCGCTCGAGTATCGTGCAATATTTTCGTTCGAAGAGTTTCGGGAAAATAGAGAACAAAATTGGGTCCCCTATGCTCGAAGGATTTCCTTTTCTTTTTTTTCTTGAATTCGTGAAGACTCGAAGAAAAAAAGAGAAGAAAATGAGATGTCAAAGAGAATCTTCTTCCTCGCGAGGGGAAGCTCGTGCAAGCGTGTAAAATTCGACGCTGGAGATGGATAATTCGCGAAGCAGAGACGGATTGAAGCGAAACCGTCGCGTCGCATTGACGCAACTTTGACCCCTCGATGAGCGATGGTTGCTCGAGCCGTCAAAGTGCGCAGCCGTAGCTCAACCACATAGCTGCCCGTATAACAATTAACTGTAAAATCTCAGACTCGCTATTTTCTGCCAACTGTTCGTCGGCCGCGCAACGTGCAGCCAGGTCGAGTTCTGTAATGGCGAAAAGCGCGCGCTACCAACGAGAGCGAAAAGAGTTTGGTTTACGTCTTACGGGAGCCAGAGAGTCGAGAATCGGTAGCAGCTAGCGGTAGCTACCGATGAGAAGGACGGATGGTAGAAGGGAAGACATCAGGTGGGGGTGGGGGCAGGGTTTAGGAATTTGCTAGCCGCTATTCACGATTTCGTGATACCAAATCGTACTTGTCGGCTGTTGATGTACCAGGTGAGATTGGCCGCGGGTTTACTCCGTCCGGATGTGCAGTTCAAACGTAGCATATCGTCGATCCGGTATTTCCTCCTTAACCCGTGTATCGACGGCCCTTGAGAGGGTAATTCTGCGGAACAAGAGACGTCAGGTACACACGGGTCCCGGAAGTATGCGAAGCATGTTCGAAACGCCTCTTTGACGTTTGGCCGTTTCCTACGTGTC